ATTTACAAATAAGGAATCCTACTTCGCGGAATTTCATTTATCACGGTAGGGTCTAGAACCGATTAACCGCGATAAACGAGGGTTCACTGTAATTCAAATAAAAAATGGTCAAAGTACATGAATAGATGGTTCACCAAAAATGACATTCAAATGGCTAACAAGCACATGAAAAAATGCTCACAGTCACTAGCCATCTGGGAGATGCAAATGAAAACAATGATGACAAGAACAATGACAACCCAATTAACAAAACAAAACACAGAAAACAACAAATGCTAGAGAGGGTGCAGAGAGATTGGGACTCTCATACACTGCTAGTGGGTCTGTAAACATGTACAAATGTTATGGAAAACAATATGGTGCTACCCTAAAACAAGTGGAACTGGAAATCCCATATGATCCAGCAATACCTCTCCTTATATATCTTAAAGAAGCAGGAGACCTAACCCTAACAGACATATGCACTGCTATGCTTGTGATAGGTTAATTGTGCCCACCTGGCCAGTGGGAACAGGTGGGATTAATCAGGTCAGTTTGATTGGAGGGCAAAGAGATAAATGGCTTTGCAAGACCTACTCCCCATCTCTTGTTCTCTACTGATCAGACCAGCATGCTGCTGCGTTAGCTAGGTCTCTGCCTCAACCTGTGAGCTATACTACCTATGGGCCAAGCCAACTCATGGATTTGTAGCTAGAGCTTGAGGTTCCTTCAAGACCTGCCCAGAGCTTGAGGCTCCTTCAATACTTGCTTCGCCACACTGCTGGTGCATACATTACTTGAGCTTGATGCTGGTGGATCCTGTTGCCTTGCATAGCTTGAGTTTGATATCCCATCTGGGTCTGCTTCACTAAGCTCCTAAGCTACTGACTGTTGCTGATCAACCCTGCTGTTTGCTCCCTGCCTGACCCGAGGGAGGACTCAGCTGTCTGCTCCCTTGACCTTGGACCAGGCAACCCACATGAGTTGACGGACTTCTAGCATATTAACTGTTCCACTAAAGTGAGTTGAACTGAGCCTTCTGTACTGCTGTGTGGACTAATTAGCTGTTATATCCCTTCTTGCTGTATAAACCTATCCATTTATATATATATAAAGTGTCCTGGTTTTATTTCTCTAGAGAACCCCGCCTAACACAATGTTCATGACAGCGTTGTTCACAATAGAAAGAAATTGGAAACAACCCAAAAAACATTCAGTAGAATGGTTAAAGAACTGATAGTACATTTACACATAACCATTAAAAACCATTTATGAAACCACAAATGACCTCACAACATGGATGGTCTGGGAGAATATGCGGAGTGAAGTTAGTCAACAGTTACAAAAGGGTAGAATATTGTATGAGACTGTTACTGTAAGTACAGACACCAAGACAAAGATAAAGGTAAGCCTCTGTTCTAAGATTATCAATCATTTAATCTGGTCTACCAAACGATACGGTAGTGTGTCTGTCTAATGCCTGCAATCTATTTATCATTCCCTTATTTGCATCTTATCTTAAAAATTACTTCTTTAGAGGAGGCCTCACCTCATCTGGGGTCAATTGTTTTATTAGTTGGGAGGGAGGCAGGACCAAATAGTTCACGTCCTATACCATTGTTTCATGGTCACCCCAAATTAATAAAATTTAAAACCAAACTCACTGCCATCAAGTTGATGTTGACTCATAGCAATCCTATATAGGACAACGTAGAATTGAACCTGTGAGTTTTTGAGTGGAAAACCTTATCTTTCTCCCTTGGAGTGGCTGGTGGTTTTAAATAGCTGAGCTTGCACGTAGCAGCCCAATGCATAACCATTACACCACCAGTGCCCCTCCCCAAACTAATAGATACTCCTAAAATGGTGATTAATGAATTTCAATGAGAATTCATGAATAGAGGAGAGGGGGATATGTCTGTCTTTGAGAAGGTGATTTCATTTCTGTTGGTGGAAATGCATAATATTATATCAGTTTTAATTATTATAATTTTATCACATAGTACATACTCTTATGATCATGTAATATTATCTAATATAGACTTCCAATGTAGAGGGGAGAATGGATCACTGCTCTTTTCACTTTTCGCAGTTCTCTTCAGCTTTGTGAGGTCGGTGTGGTAAGATGTGCTCTGGTCGTGTCTCCTGCATGAATGATAGTCCTGCATT